TCCTTGTGGTGAGAACCAGTGAGACTGGCCTACTTGCAGGGTTCCAAAGCTTAACGTTGTACGTTTTATTGCTTTCATTTACGTTACTTGTCCTTGTCAAACTGCTGATTAAAAATCACTACTACTACTACTACTTGTGGTACTCTTGGGTCGGGCGGCGTCCTTTGAGAAGATACATGGGTGCTTTTGCACCTGGCGTCAAGTTTGCTTCGTGGGGTGGCCAGAGCCAAGCTCCGCCGCACATCAAGTTAAGGTACTGTGGTACCATTGCTTCAAGTGAGCATCGAAGAGAAGGCTAAAAAGCCACGTAGATTTCAACAGTTAACCAACGCAATAAATTTCCTTGCCTATATTTTATAATAAAGTTCTGTCCTAACAACCGTGTACAGTAGTATTTTTTTTTAGTTAATGTTGTGTGTTTTATTTCTGCTGTGGGATTGGTAGGGGGGTTCGTAACCTCTTGTAGTGAGAACCGGTGTGATCGGCCTACCTGCAGGGTCCCATGGTTTAACGTGATAGTTTTTTTCTTCCTCTATTAATTGTCAACTGTACTTGTCTCTAACTGCGACACAAAAATCACTACTACTACTACTACAGTGTTTTGTGAGTTAGTACCACACCATGGAAGCGAGTTGTGAATAATGAAAACAAAACTCGATATTGTAAATTATAAACTCTTTTCACATGGGGAAGAAAACAACAGTGTTGCATATCTGGGACGATGAATTTAACTGTGTTCAGTTTTTTTCCATGGGTAATGAAAGGGAAGCCACGGCTTTTAGTAGAGGTTGAGACATTTTCCGGGAAAACATAAAATTTTCTCCTAGAAATGTACACTATATACCACCTAGGCGTTTGTGGTGATATTATTTTGACATACTGTTCGAGTGATTACTGGTGATACCGGAATGTCCGAATTACGATTATAATACAAGAGTTAAACGTTATTCAATGCATTGACGGTATGATTATATTGTTGTTGACATTATTATGCCGCTCTACTATCACAAATGTACTAGGTATAATAAGTTCAGCTTTGTCAATTACCAAGGATAAAGATATACATAGAAATATTGTCCACGACCACATGACCGCGGAACGGTTGCTTCATTTCTTGCCGGTAATTAATTATGGAGGTACCCATGGTAACGTCACCCAGTTAACAATTTTATAATGCTTTGAATGTCATTAGGCCAACTGGAGTTGCTTATGTCTCTGTTTTATGAAGTTAACTATCAGTACACTCACAGTACCGAATCTACCCTAAAAGTACCTCATGATAAAAATAGCGTTGTGAAATACGAATGATCGCGAAAATAGTACAGACTACAGTTTCGTCGTGCAAGTGTATCTTTGAAAGCCCCAATCAGATCCTAAATTGAATAATATGTAGATGAATTTTAATGAGAAAATAACTGTCGTCCGCTTTGTTGTTATTATTTCTATTAACCTTTTTATTTGTTAATTGTTTTGCTCCGTTTCTGAGGGAATCAAGCTCCTCACATCATTGTTTAGCACAACATTGCCACACGCTCTTCCAATCGACTTATCCTATAACATTGTAAACACATTAAAATCAACGTTATGTTGCACATTTACAATGTTCCCAATATCTAATAATGCTCAAAACAATGCATTCTTTAGATATACAAAGCATCCACACGTGAAACAAATTTAATGGAAAAACCCACACATACCAATTTTAGTATAGTATATTTTATTTGACTCATCACGTACCCTGGGGGCACTATGTAGAAAATGCATTATGGACAATACCTTATATATACATTATATCATCAAAGCAAAAACACGCAAAAAAAGTCTCATTGCAGACACCTTGAAACTGGCCAAAGCAGCTCTCTGAATATGAACTCCCCGCGAAGCCCGGACCGCGATCACCATGGAAACAAAATATAATACGTGATTATGACAGAGAAAGAGGTGTAGTTGAGACACATAATGTTTTTTTTCTTTGAAGCCAAAGCTGCAAATGCATACCGAATGTCAGATCAAACATGCCCGGCCCGTGCCTGACTGTCATGTGGCGACAGTTTAAAAATGAAACTTGCACTATTGTAAATATCACGCAGTGCAGTGTTTTTAAACTGATTCATGCGCATTTCCGCGATTTGGGTTTGTTTTGCACTGAAGTTCTGTATGAAATTACTATGTTAGCTGCAGGTAATGTGGCGCTAATAGTTAGAACATTAGTTTGTCATATAAACAGAAATATTGTAAAACTACTGTAAACATCACGCAGTTCTTATCAATCGTAATGTGATTACTATACACTCACTGTAACTGTCATTGGTGACTACGCCGAGTGGTTGTTTTGCTCGGGTGTTACCGGTAGTATAAGTTTGTCGAATAATATATTGATATTCATTGCAAAAACATTCTTTGGCATTCCTTGCGTCACTTGAATCGCCAAAGTGTATTATTATACACATTTATTGTACAACACAAAATAAAAAAGACAATGTCAAATGTTGTACCACTGCACCACTTTTCAAATATTTTACACATTTTATTTTACATATTTAAAGCATCGCAAAATCCGGTTCAAATTAGACACTCTCTGTGTCTGTGTAGATGACTGTGTCTGTGTCTGTGTAGATGTAGGGTTCATCATTAGGGTCAGGCGTTCTCTCATAGTATTGTGCATACTATTAATAAATCACCAAGCAAAAAAACAAAAACAAAAAAATGTGCAAATCAATGAATAATGTATACAGAATAAATAAGACATTTTGTTTAATTAAAAAAAGCTGGTCAGGAGACGACACTTGTGCAAATAAATTTATTGTGTCTAATATTGTCAAAACTTATTATTCTAATCGGAGAACATACAGTTATTATATGTGCCACATACTTTGTAAAATATTATATATTTCCCGTTGACTCCATCTATATATGTTCTGTACATCAGTGAATTACCGAAAATCCACATACATGCAATATTACTTTCCACCTTTGCGGAATATTTGCGTGTCCGATTTTCATGTAAACAAACAATGTATTTTACATGGGTTGTGTACGTCGCTATGAGTCCCACGTCGAACAGGACGCGGCACGACGAGCGCCGCCCTTTAATATCAACACGCGATCAGTCCTGGAGTTTCCCTCTCTGAAACCTGCCTGCAATTCTGGAATCATTCCCGAACCTGGTTTTCGGACCATTTATAGAATGAAATAGAATGTAGTCTACCCACACTTCCATCATTATTTGCAACGCAAGTCAATTCATTAACAACCGGTGTATTCCTTTCTACCAGTTAATAGTACATAACATAATGACAATGAGGATGACTCTAAATTAGTACGTTTCATGAAATATACGTAACTTGTTGGAATTGCTCCTGTTTTGAGCTAGGTCTAGAACCCGCACAGTAATTCGTGTCATCGTATTGGAGATAATCTTGCACACAGCTAATTATTACCTCAATTCAATCATCACTTTACCCTGACATAACATGTAACGTATATTCAAATAATGGTGTCCTCGTCTAAAACCATTTATATCGCCAAAGAAATTAAGAAACTCATTTTTTACTTGATTTTACAGTTCACGTCTTTAAATGTTCCTACCGAGTTTGGATTCGGAAAATTTCATCAAAAATGGAAATCTTGCACAACACACTTAGATGTGGTTGTTATATGCATCACACTGCAGCCACTTTAGAAACATTATTGAGGGGTAATGTAATTAGTTTTATTTTATTTACAATATGCTTCGACGTTTAGTTCTGAGACTAAACCGGCCACACATATTCAAAGAATGGCAAGTATTAACTATGTCAATTCATAAACTTAAATTAAACGTTAAACCTGCTATAAATTCATTATCAATAACAAATAAAACTGTCCTCAAAATATCACACACAGTATAATTTAGGGAAAATGCTCTCATTCAAACCTTGATGAAATATACACCGTGACGTCTCTGATGAGAAGAAGCATTCTTCAACAAAACAAAAATTGTGATCGATGACTTTCCGTAAGAACACTTTACAATATAAGCTACAGGTCCATGTCATTGGCGAAGGCGTTGTCTATATCTGTTACTGCATCAACACATATTAAGCAATCTTTTAGTATTTACGTTCACGTTTCATCCTACCTTTAAAATATACAGGTTATCTCAACCGCGTGGGATTAATGCAGCTGCAATCAACTTAAAATAGATTTTGTACATATCACCTTAAGTTTCTTACATACTACTCAAGCATGGTAATCATAATATTTTTTAGTCAAACGTAGATTTGCACCTAATTCCTTTATATTATTCGACATTGTG